TTCAAGTTTATCATGTTCCTTTTACTCCTTCCGCTTGTGACAGCATCTATCATCGACGAAAATTATGAATCTGGACAAGACGTGTACGATGCAATTATCAATACATTCTTTCCAGTATTTTTTGTTCTTCTATTCAATGTTTCAGGGAACACTGGACGCATTAAAAATGTAATGTTACCATTACTGGATGACTTATTATACAACACTGTCACTTGGGTGATTCCGCTGGTAGTATCTTTGGCCTACGATGATTTGCTGAGTATAAAGATATTTTCACTTGTAAACATGGCTTTGCATGTAACTTGCGCAGTAGGAGCAATAATTAATAATAAAACAATTGAATATTTTGGTGGTACTTTTAATTCTTTTACCTTTATCTATGTGTTCTTGATATTATTCCCAGCGATAGTCATTCCAATATTCTGGATTGTTGTTATTACAACTAGACATCTTTTTGATACAATTAGTTTAGTATTCCTTACATCATTTGGGATGTTGTTAGCTACAATATTCATTCCTTTTATACTAGCTTGTTGGTGTTGTTGCTCAAAAAGATCGAAACAAGTAGTTGATTGGAAGATTGTTAATATATTATTTGTTCCTGGATGGTTTTATCTCCCGAATATTCTGCAAACATTATTTATTGTGTTAAAATGGCCAATCGATTTTTACTTTGTCAAGGCATGCATATTTATACTGGTTCTCTCATTAACAAGAAACGTGTCCTTCTTTACAGAGGATAAACCAGCACCTGATGACTTTCTGGCTACCTCAACAACATTCACTCAAGTTAGACTGCGCACATTAATAAATGAAGAGCTAGGGGAGGATGAAGAAAATAAAATAATAGATGAAAGTGAAACTCTAAAGGAAGAAATCAGGGAAATGAGCAAATCAATGGTCGAAATGAAAAAATCAATGGCCGAAATGAAAGAAACTCAAAAGAGTGAAAGTCAAAAGTATGAAACTTTAAAGGAAGAAATGAAATCAATGGCTGAAAGGATAAAATAATGATGATAATTTAACATCAGTTTTTTTTTAGAAAGGACTATTATGCTGTCACTAACAGTATATTTATTTATTTATTTACTATTACATATAGCAAAAATTTAATAATGATATCGTTATTTAATAAAAACATACTGAAAATAAAAGAGAAATAATCTTTTTTTCCTGGAATGATCAATATTAACAACCTTTTACAATTCTATATAATGGAAAACAGCAATAACAAAAAAAATCTAATTGTAAGAAAGAGAAACCAAGAAATTTCTCCAGCAGGCGAGTTTGTAGAAAAATATTATTTTTTAGTTTTTTAAAATTAAAATCAGTTCAAGTATCCTTTTAAGATTAGACAATATTATTATAAACTTTATTATTATTCAATAAATTATATGTAAAAATATTAAATAATAATAATAATAATAATAAATTAATTCCCATTTTTTCTTTATTTTAATAATAACTTTTCTGTCATTTTAGTCCTTAAATCTGTTAAATTCATTAATTGAACCAATGAATCTTCCATTTCATCAATATCCATAATAATACCATCTAAAGGTTGAGTTTGTTGTTCGATTTTACACAACTTGGATAAAAATGAATCATTCAATTGATAAAGTCGTTGATCTTTCTCAGGCTAATAAAAAACAACAATTTTAAATAATTGGCAATTAATTAATATATCTATATATGAATACTCTAATACTTACATCCCAATAGTTTGTTGAATTAGTTGAATTAGTTGAATTTAATGATCTAAGGTTATCTCTAATCAATTCATTATCTATTTCAACCACATATTCTGGTTCTTCTTTTAGTAAAGGATGAAGCTGTTATTATATATATTATTGTAATAATTATAATAATCAATGTTATAATTATTTGGGTGAGAGATATGTGAACAATAACACTTTTCCATTATAATTTCAATCAATTCCAATCAATAATTAATTACCTTTGATCTTTGTATTTTTTTATATCTGTTATTTACTGCTTTTTTATCACTTTTGAACCTTGATAAAGCTTTAGTGTCATCAATTAAAAGTCTAAATATAATAATTAATTTGATGATTATTAGAATATAATATTTATATGATAAAAAATAACGATAATATTATTATCATACAATTTCTCATGTTTAAGATGAACTTCCATTTGATTTAAAAGTTCCGTTTCTTGTATAGCTCTCAATTCCAATTTTTCCTATAAAGAAAACAATTTAATAAGTAAAAATAAAAATTTCTTGAAGCAATTATATTTTAGAAAATGTACAAACGTTTTGTAATTCAAGATTCTTATAGTTTAAGCTTTTCAATGAATTTGATAAAGGCACAGGCTCCAACTTTTCATCGATTCTTAATTATTAATAATTGATGATATAATTAATACACAATTAAATAAATAAATAAATCATTGTATAAATCGTATATTCAATTTACTTTGTTTTCAAAGTAGCAAGTAATGGTTCTAACTCATCTCTTTCCTCTGCATTATCAACATCATTAAGTGTATCACTTTTATACATTAATATCATATATTGTTATTATTATTATGTATTATATATATTTTACATAAATAAACATGTAAGCTTACGAAATGCAATCGCCTAAAATATTTTTTATACAATCTATAAATTTGTCATGTTGTTGTTGTTGTTGTTGTTGAGCCATGTTGTATTAATTATGAACTGAAAGGCGCGTACAGACGAATTATATAAAAGGAATATTGATCGACATCCAATTATTATGTAAATAGTGATTTTCAATATCGTGCGACATACATTCTAATTTTTTTCTTTCAAAATCTTCAAAATAAAAATTCGTAGTCATGTTTATACCTCGAGTAATTAAAAGACCAAGCGCTATTCCTGTGAATAAAAATAAAAAAGCTAAAATAATTAATACAGAAAAAGTAAATTCTTCAATGCCAACTACTGCCACCATTACTATTACTACAAGACCATCGCCAAAAAATACTTCAGAAGAAGAAGAAGAACCTGTTAAAGAATTTAGTCAGCAACAACGTGACGCTTTAGTAGACGAACCAACTTGTATTATATGGTACTATTGATTTTCAATATTTTATCATAAGAAGAAAATAAAGATTGGTAAATATTTGAACTGAAATTTCATTTTCAATTTATTTTGTTTAGTGGAAAATATGGCGAGTATATTTGTGATGAAACAGATCATGATGTCTGTAGTTTGGAATGTAAAAAAATAGATATATATAACAACAACAATAGTAATAACAATAGTAATGACAATAGTAATAATAACGAAGGTAATACAATACCAGCAGTTCAATTACTTCAACTACAGTCAAATTCAAACGTTTTTCATTCACAGCTTACTGCATACACTTCACATTCACAAATTAATAAACTGTCCGAGGCTCAAATATCACAAATATTAACAAAAAATAAAATAATCACGCACGGAAAAAATGTTCCTCGTCCTATACTAAGTTTTACACATTGTGCCATGCCACAAAAATTATTTGAAAATGTTCAACAAGCGGGATATCTAAATCCAACGCCAATACAAATGCAATCCATTCCAACTATTTTGAGTGGGCGTGACGTGTTAGCAAGTGCTCAAACAGGATCTGGAAAAACATTAAGTTACTTAATACCTGTAATAGTACATTCATGGTCATTATCACAACTTCATAATAGTAAGAATGGGCCATATGCTATAATTATGGCACCGACAAGAGAATTATGTGCACAAATAGAAGAAAAGGTAAAGGCTTTGGTAAAAGGCCTGATGAATATGAAGACTGTTCTTTTAGTAGGCGGATTGCCGATGCCTAATCAGATACATCGACTGAAACAAGGTGCACAAATAGCTGTTGCAACACCGGGAAGATTGCTGGATTTATTAAATAATATTAACAATGAAGATATATCATTGTCAATGAATAATGTTCATGTTTTAGTGTTAGACGAAGTAGATATGATGTTTAAAATGGGATTCGAGAATCAAGTGATGGAAATAATTGGTAATAAATTAACTTTGGAATGTGGGAAACGCCAAACCCTCATGTTTTCAGCTACCATTCCAACAAACATCGAGATACTTGCAAAGTCATTGTTGAATGATCATATTAGAATCACAGTTGGGAACATTGATGATAATGAGAATAGTGAGATTAGCTCCAAAGATAATCGGTCCAAGAATGCTTCAACCGCAAAAGGCGTGATAAGTGTACCAGTTAAACAAACAATATTATGGGTGGAAAATAAATCAAAAAAAAAACAATTATTTTCGATATTGAATGACCCAAAATATTATCGTCCACCTATTATTATATTTGTAGAGTCAAAGATGGGAGCGGATTTATTGTCAGGTGCGATAGAAAAAAAATGTTTTGCAAAAACAGCGAGTATACACGGCGACAAACCACAGGAAGAAAGGATTCAGATATTGAATTCATTTCTGAAAGGAGAATATGAAATTATAGTATCGACTGGTGTCTTGAGCAGAGGGTTAGATTTGCCTAATGTTAAAATGGTGGTGAACTTTGATATGGCAGTATCAATTGATGAATATATTCATCAATGTGGAAGAGCAGGTGGATACACTCAAAATCATCAAAATCCGGGTTGGGCAATAACTTTTATCAATGAGGTATTGTTTAAATTTAAAGAAAAAATTTTCAGACCATTTTTATTACAAAAAAAAATTATTTAATTAATTATATTATGTATGTGCATGTAACAAAAAAAAATTGAAAAAGGACCATAAACATCATTTCAAAGAATTCGTTACAATGTTAAAATCACAACCTTCCGGAAGAGTGACACCACTGCCTTCAAAACTACTTAATCATGGATATACTCTATATGGAAATAACAATAAAACATCCAACAAGCATAAATAATTATTGATTATCATAATTTAAATCCTGAATGGATAGATGCAACACCGAAAGTCAAGTCTTCCCAGCCATTATCAACAATTGTGAATCTGGCTGTTTTTATCATATTAGCAAATGTTTGTTGTGAAGGAAATTTCTGGATACTTTCCACCAAATATTGATAAGAGTTTTTGTCTGATGCTATTATTTCACCTAATTTTGGAACTACTTGAAATGAATATAGATTATAAAAACTATATTTATTTATTTATTTATTTATTTATTAGTAACCTATTAGTAATTTGATTTTGAAAAAGAAAGATAATATAAATAAAATAAATTACACTCACGTTGAAATAATAGGATTATTTACTTTACCAAATTCTAAACACATGAATCTTCCGCCAGGTTTCAACACTCTAAATGCTTCACTTAACACCAATTCTATGTGAGTGCAATTGCGTATACCAAATGCAATCGTGTAAACATCATATGAATTGGATGGTATAGATGAAAGTTTTTCAGCATTTCCTAATTCAAAAGATATTTGAGATTCTTTAAAAAATATATTTCTATTAGAAAATTTGAAAAGAGTTCAAAAAACAATTAAAAATTAATTGTATTTTTTGACTTTACGGTTGATGTGAGGTATTTTAGAAAATCTTTGTTTGCAAACTTCCAACATTTTAGAATTGATGTCTAACACTGTGACCTTTGCAGTTGTATCACCATGAATTTCTTTACAATAATTAAGAAATCCCATGGCAATATCACCTAAATTCAACAATTTAATAATTATAATTATATACTTATTTTAATGCAAAAAAACATTTATTTATTATATTGACCTGTTCCACCTGCAACATCCAACAATTTTGTACCAGGACCAGGAGCCATTTCACGTATGAAATGATCCTTCCATAATCGATGAATCCCAAGACTCATAGCATCATTCATCAAGTCATATTTTGATGCAACATTTGTGAAAACTTGTCCAACTTTTTAAAAAAAAACAATTAATTGGAATTGAATTGAATTGATGGGTGAAAATTTAAATTATTCAACAAGCACCTAATTTATCTTTGAGAGATTCTGGAACTGTTTTAAAGCCAAAATGTGTCACTGGTTCGTCAAGGTTTTCTTGCTTTTGTTTCTTCTCTTGTTGTTGCTGCTCATGATAATATTGTTGTTTAATGATAATGTTATAACCTACCAACCTATTATTATTACCAGCATAAGAGCTGTTGATTAAACTCTTAGAGTTGAATTTATTTGCTGTAATTAATAGATTTTGTGGAACTAATTTTTTAATCATTTTCGAAATAAAAAATTAGATCGACAAGCCAACTATCCGAGAATTTTTTTTTTAGTATTAGAAATAAAAATCGGTCGGCCACAAATAGTAGTAGCAGCAGTAGAATAACCAATAACTAAATGGTCTTAAGTTGACGTTAGACAATTATATTTATATCCTTTATTTGGGCTGATTAATTGCAAAGTAAGAAGAAGAAAATAATGAATTAGTTTACAAATTGTGTCATGAAAAACCAATGGAATCAGGAAATAAAATGAAGATAATACTAACGCAGAAAAAGAAGAATTCCTTCTCGGTTCAATTATTCCAGAGTCAAAATATTTCCTTGCGCTTAGTAATCATTTCTAATCGTGGGGTGAGAGTGTGTGTTTTCGTATATATGTTTAGCCGTTGGTTTATTGTTTTTCAGTTTTATTCGTCTGAAAGCGTCGATCGATCGATGGGTGATATTTGATTAATATAACTCGAGACACAAAACACGGAAATATCGATTTTGTATTATCTTTTTTTTTAAAAAAAAAAAAAAATAACCGAAATTCCAAAATTTGAATTATTATTTGATGAATCTTGACAAATAAATCATTCAAGATTTTAATTTTGTGTTTTTACATATGTTTTTTAATTATTAAATAACAATACGACAATAAAGTTTTAGTTTTTAAATAATACCAAATATAGTATAAAGACTTGGTGGGTTATTTTTGACAGATGTCACACACATCATCATTTTATGTTTTACTTTTATAATCAATTGTTTAAATTTTGTTTGTTAAACCAATTAATTATTGGATTGTTCTAACCGTATTCATAAACATCATAAACATTGACTTTTTTAATAATAAATGCTATATGGAATAATATTTCAAGATCTAATCTTATTATTTATATACATATATGCTATTTATTATTAAAATTTTCATATTCAAATTCATTTTCATTTTGATTAATAATGATCACATATAAATCAATAAAACAAATATAATATATATAAAGGCATGACAAAAAAAATTTTAATATTTTTTCCATGATTGATTTTTATGTTATGAATAAATATAAATTAAATATAAATAAGATGTCAACTAAGCCGGATAAACGTAACGAACCCCAACCCGTTTCAACAATACCCGCCACTTTAATAACACCAGCACCCATAAGCATCAATAGTTCATATTTGTCCCAAATTCCAGAATCGGAATTAGACAATTTTAGAACTGCACTAAAAGAACAGGCCAGGGATAAAACATGGGAGACTTTATATAAGATTGAGGAAGAAGTTAACAAAATGATCCGTGACTTTCCGAATGTCAAAACGGCCTTAACGATAAGCGAATTGTTGCAGCCTTCGTCAAATTCAAGGGCAAAAGACACACCAAGACCACAGAATCCTTTTATGCTTTATCGTAAAGATTTATCAAAGGTCATTTCTAAAATTTACAAACCGATTTCTGTGGGTCAGTCGTCACGCTTGGCCTCGGAACGTTGGAAGCTCTTAGATAGTGACTCAAAATTGCTTTGGTCCAGAATGTCTAAAGTTGCAAAAGATTTACATACCGGTATGTACCCTGATTATAAATATACTCCTGTTAGAAATCATAAAAAATCGGACAAAAGAAAAGGTCGTCGTTGTCGTGCTTCTGTCACTTCCAACGCTGCTTCTACTATTGATTCTCCTCCCATAAGTGCTCCTCCCATCATTACTAAAATATCGAGCCCAAACATTTTACCAATAATCAATAATTTTGGTGGCAATGACTATAATAATTTTAATAGTAACAACAACAATAGTAATATTAATGAAAACTTTATAAATTCATTCGAGTCTGATTTTTCCCTAAACAATAATTTGAACTATGAAAATATATTTCAGTACATGATTAACAATACTGATAATAACGCTGATGCCGGCACCAGCGCTATTACCAACGATAATGACAATGACAGGCCAACAAAAGCCAACGTAAATTTCGATCATCCTGCTCTTAAAGAGGCTAATGGTCCGGCGCGCGTAACAAAAATTAAAAACACTAAGCTAAAGAAAAATAATTTGAGAAATCGAACCACAGCTGATGATTTCTTATTTACAAATAACTTTATAACCCAGCAGCAACAACATCAGCAGCAACAACAGGAACAACTGGAACAGCAGCAACAACTTCAACGAACCCAACAAAATTTTTTTTATCCCTTTTATGATTCTATACAAGAAGCACCCACAACTGATGCAACGTTAATAACATCACCGTTGTCATCATCATCACAATCTGCCACAACTTCACCAACCTTAAGCTTTAAAAGAAAAAGAAGATGTTCCAAATCTTCTATAACGCAAATATTATTTAACCCATATTCATCATTGTTATCAACTCAAATCATGCCACAATTATCTCAACAAGCATCTACTTTTCTAACTCCAAACCAATTTAGTTCGAACCCATCATCATCGTCATCACTGTTGCCTATAACACCATCTACAGCAACAATAATAGACGAGCATCAATATTTGTCAAATTATGCAATTATGAATAACACATTAGCAATGGAAACAGCAACAGTTGCGAATAATTTTAATCACAATTATGAAGACATGATTTTTCATGAATACTTTAATGATAATAATGATTCATTATCGTCAACAACCACAACCACAACCACAACCACTACTCTAATTGATCCATGTTTATTGGATGAAACGGCAGATTCATTATTTAATTTAAAATTAGATTTTTTAAATTAGATCATTATGTTGTATATTTAATTTAAAATTAAGCTTTTGATCGTCATATATTTATGTATATTATGTATATGTATAATAAGATATTTTTTATATGTAATAAATAGAATCTTCAAATAAAAAAATATAAACTTATGAATTCAATTAATAGTTTTGCATTCGAAAAACATTATTTTATCATTATTATCATTATTATGTTTGTTATTATTATTATATTACAAGAAATAAATTAAATTATATATTACAATACATATGTTTCAATTCAACCTACATCCAAAATAACAGTTATTATTATTTATTAAATGAAAAAATTAAAATTACATTTAAAATTAAAAATTAAAAAGTCTCTCTCCTGTTCAAAAAATTTAATATTCTTCACCACTGCTCAATTCACCAGAAACTAGTTCACCACTAACAAATTCTTGAAGACTCACTCTGCCCTCTTCTTCAGGTGATAATGGTGCATATGGACAAAATGATGACTCGTCATCATTTTGCTCTTCCACACCATCAACAACATCACGTGAAATAAAATAGTCACCTGACTCTGTACGTTTTCTTCGATCAGTACCAGTACCTCCACGATGATGAAATGGTGACATGGGAAAGTCATGTATCCCGTACAAACTAACCCTGGCTTCTGCCAAATACTCTGAATTGTCTCCCCAATATCCCACTGTACTAAGTCTGCAATCACTTGATGTTAATGCTTGGTTAAGTTCCACCGTGTCTTCAATATCAATTAGTTTAAATGGATTACGAGGTAACCATAATTTGCGATTCAACGCTTTAACTAGGTTGGGATGTGTATAAGTTTGGTATTGTGATGTCTCATCTTGAATCAGCTTTAGACTTGGATCGTGTGTGAAATGTGCCGGGTGTGGTGCACACCTTAAATTTCCTCGGGATGGTAATCTTTGTGCATTTGGTGGTATCTTCTTTGGTGGTATATTCTTTGGCGGCAAATTCTTTGGCGGCAAAGTTATCGTCGTGGGATTATTGTTATTTTCTCCGGTAAAGTTAGCACTACCATCATTACTGTTGTTGTTATCGTCCTTAATAACATTTTTAGAGTCTTTACTGGCGCTACCACCATTATTCGACTTATTACTATTAGAATCATTATTTATTTCAACAATATCGGATTCATCACTATCATAAGATTCATCAACAATAATTTTTCTATTATCAATATTACTATTGTTGCTACTGTTGATACTTTGTGCTAATAAAACTTTTTTACTGTTGATGGAATCTACTGATTTCTCATCAATATTACTTAAACTATGACTTGACAGTTTTTTCTCTCTCATTTCATCTTTAGATGATAATTGTTTTTCTGTTGAATTTTTGCTTTTCATTGATTTATTATCATCACCTTCATAACCATCATTATAAACACCGTCATCATCATCACCAATGCCACTTGATATAGATTTTTCTTCTTTTTTATCATTAACAATAAAATCACCTTTACTAAAATTTTCTTTTTGAGACGATTCATTGTTCATAGTAGAATCAGTATCTTTACTGGCTCTTAAACGATGAAATGTTGTATTAGCACCATTATCGGTAACAAGATGATCTTCTTGTTGTAGTTGTAGTTGTTGCTCTTTATTATTTTTTAATAAATAATCTTCATGTTTTTCTGATATTTTTGAAGTCTTTTTTAATAAATTGTGATCACGTTTATCATTATTCTTGTCATTATCATCATTGTTGTGATTATTATCATTATTGTTATCGTTGTTATCATCATTATCATCATTATTGTTATCATCGCCATCATTATCGTTATTATCATTATCATTATTGCTTGATTCATTGTTTAATTTAGAATCTAAAGCTAAATAATGTGTTCTTGAATAAAATGTTTTATGACAATAATACTTAAAAAACACTGTGCCTGCCAAAAGTGGCATCAAAAGAGTTCCTATAGCAATAGCTTTATTGAGCCATAACACACCAAGAACCGTCAACTGAAACACAACCAATCCATCGGTGGTATAGCGAAAAACACTTTTATAGAATCTACCACCTGCTTCATAACGACGCACATAACAATAACCAAATTGATATTTGAATACCAGAAGGGCAATTCCAAAATAAAGCACAGAAAATGGTAATACGAGTGGATTAATGGTGGAATAGGTGATGGTGATTACTAGTATTAAAATATGATTTGGGTAATAGTAGTAAAATTGAAATGAATGAGGATGTGTCACTCGTTGGAGTATTCTCGGTGTTGTGGATACAAATCTTGATGTTAATAATATATGAAGAAAGATTTGTGGAACTACTTGAACTAATTCAAAACCGTGAGCGCAAGTATTGAAAACTATATAATTTATAAAAAATGTTGCTCCCTAATGATACGATATAATTTTTTTTGGCCCAAATATTAAAATATATAAATATAAATAATTTCTTATAAATAAACAAAATAAAGAAAAAATACGATTGTGCAATTATTTTTTTAAAAAAAATACCTGTGGTAACGTATTGGCCAAAGTTTCCAAAATACTTGCAGGAGAATTGAGTATATTAAAGATTGATTCTAAAAAAACTTTTCCTAGCAAGAATACCACAATTACGTTAAAGAATGAGAAATAATAATATCGAACCAATACTGCATTTTCTAATTCTGAATATGATGAAAAACATTCTTGCTTGGATAATTCTATATGTTTTGTAAAAGAGAATGAAATAAAATATCAACATAAAATATATATAAATACAAATACATAAATATGAATATAAATATAAATATAAATATAAATATAAATATAAATATAAATGTTAACTAACCCATTAAAATCCAAGGTAACATGGCCATAAAGATTGATACTAAAACTGTCGGTAATACATTCCGAAGTAGCGTATGTATTAAAGGTGAAGCTTTTATGAGTACAGATAAAAATGTGATTTTTTCCGCAAGTGAATCAACAGAAGCAAGACCCAAAATTCCAATAATAGGGAAAAGCCAAAATATTATTAAAACCCTAAATAATAAATAAATAAATAAATAAACAAACAAATAAACATATCAATTAGTTTTTTGACATTTACAAATAAAATGTGAATAGACAACAACTTACCAAACACAAGCGTTTACAATAAAATATCTAATCATTTTTTCACGAAAAGTCATTATTAAATTACTCCAAAGTAAGTCTCTTGGCTCAGGAGCCATTTTAACAGTGCAAGTATGAGGTGTAGAACATATGATACTTTGGGCACACATTTGAGCACTTATATGATCCCGAAATGTTACAAAACCAGTACTAGTAGCTTTGTATGGTAGACCAGTTACAGAAAGGGATCTTAGTCCTGCAATACTTCTGTCCAAGAAGTTAAATTTCCTGATAAAATGATCAATGGCATAAACAGTTTTGCCACCACTAAAAAATCCACTTTTCGGTTGAAATTTATCAAGTGAAGATTTGGGAATGCGCGACAATGATTCCCATATTGAAAGTTGATGACCATAACCATCCTCATAATCCATAATATCTTCATTGGTATATGCACTAGTTTGTGAATTAAACCTTGATTGTCTACTTGTTATATAATTGTTATTACGATTATTAAACCTACTACTATTATTATGATTATTATTGTTATTATTACTACTGTCGTTGTTGTTGTCGTCATTATTATTATTATTTTCAGCACTAATGACTACACTATTAATATCTTCAATAATAGCATTGGTATTTTCACGCTTTCTTTTTCTTATGTCAACCTTTTCTATAATAGATTGAATTCTTTGATGTTCTCTTGTTTCACCAGATTCAACTGTCAAAGCTGGAACGTCATTATCTTTATTACAGCTGAAAATTTTAAACCAAAATCCATTTCCAAATAATTTTCTTCGTTTAATAAATCGATAAACATTTTTTGCAAGTTGTATATGAGCTCTTTCTAGTAATAATAGTGCCTTTTCTCTCCTTTCTATTCTTCTATCTAATTTACCAGTATGTCTTACCATTCTAGCAGATTCTACAGTACCTATACACAATCCATTAACATATTTTTGAAGTTCTTCTTCTGATCTTAGCTCTTCCGGTATTCTTGATATCATGACAGTTCGTACACTGATATCACCACTATCAACTTTCTTTAAAAGATATTCTTTATGCAATTTCATATAAGAGTAATAATTCTTGTATAAGAGGTACATCCAACTAATACTAACTATGTACGTACATATCATATGAGCCCATAATCGATTCAAATCAAATTTAATGTTTTTAACAGAAAAAATATCTACGTTGTTTCTTTCTTCAGTGCTAGACGCACTAGCTGTGTAATTTATGGGCAAAAGTATTGGACCAACTAGTAATGAATTAAATAACAAAAAATGAAATGCCATTCTCAAGAATCTTATATACATCAATGCATCTAATCCAACGTTTGTAAGATAAAATTTATCGTCCAATCGATATGCAGCTTTTACCCAAGAAAATAATCCTGGTGGCACTGGTGGCGATGGATTTCTTTATGATAAGAAATTTTAAATTTAAATATTTATTTAAAATAAATAAATAAAAATAATTATATTATTATTATTATTATCGTTATGATTATAAATTTACTTGATCAATCTTGTTCTTGGAGTATATAAATATTGCATAGATTTTCTACGCCTATTCCATTCAAATTGTAATAAACAATATAAAGAAATTGCTGAGGAAATGCCAAATTGTGTAGCTAAACCCAAAAATTCTGGCGAAGAACTACGTACAGTATCCAAAGTAGCCATTCCCCCAATTAATTTTTTTATATTTATTTATATTTGGCTTTTTGAAAGTTGCTATATTATCTGTTTTTTTTTTTTTAATTAATCGATTGATGAAATGTTAAAAATCATTTTTTTTGGAAAAAGAAAAAAAATATTTAAATTACAATTTCTATAAATAACAAATAATGTGAAAAACAAGTATTATATGTTTTCACGTGATAAAGACATGATTGGAAGTTCTGCTGTTGCACAATTAAAATAATAATTTTATTATAAATAATAGGCTAATCCTAACGAGATAATTTTATTATTACGTAAAAAGAAGCATGAATGGTGATTTTTTTTAAATCATTTTCTTGTAGCTATATATATTCATATTAATATTCCCCTAATACTAATACCAACATCTAATAATCAGAACCCCCTGTTAAATTTAAATAATAAAATAGTTGGATATTGTGGAAAAGTTTGCAGCAAGAATTTAAAGCTTGTTACAGTGAACCTCTCCCTCCCTTTATTCCATATGTAATGAGAGGCAGTTAGTTATTAGAGAAATAAAAAAGTTCAATGGTAACGTTTCATAATAAAGATCATGCATGGTAGAAGTGAGATCAAATCTCTTTTACAATAAACTTTTATATTAATGACAAAATTCTTTTTCATTGATGGTAAGTAATTTCCAAGATATGAAAAACCCTGAATTTGGAAATAAAATGTTTATTAATATTAAATACCAAATTGGAATATAAATAGTTTTTTTGGCGTTCAACAAGTAACACAAAATTGGTCGATCAATCTATGTATATTAATATTACTAATATAATTTTTTTCTTTTCTTGGTAATTCTTTGGTATTAAGAAGAAAAGTGATTCTGTATTTTTTCTACGATTATTTATTCAGTATTTTGTATTAAATCTGATTATCGATATCTTCCATTCCTTTGCAAAACATTGAACAATTCTTTATTTTTTGGTGCACAATTTTGTTATGTATGTAGGTAGGTAATAGTGTCATGAATTGTAATCTTGGGTATTCCAAGAATACTGCTGATTTGTCTCTCGCTATTACCCGCTTTAAACAAATCAATGATTTCTCTTTACCTGATTCTTTTCTTTTTGAGTTTAAGTTTTCCATTTTTAAAAAATAGTCTCTCAAGAATTTCAAAGATTTAAAACATATTCATCAACCAAAAAAAAGGACTTTAAAGTAATGAATCCTATTATGATATCCAGGTAAAGAAATCAACCGAACCTTTGGCATAAAGATGATTCGAATTAAGAAGGCATTCTTGACGTTCCTCGAATGAAAATGTGGATTTCACTAATGTTCAGATAATAATGTAATATTTTAACAATAAATAACAATAATAATAATTAATATTATTATCATCATTACTAATATTTATTTATAAAATGGAGAAATAGATAATCTTATGTTAAAACATTTCTTTTTTTTCTTTTATCAAAAATATTTCAAGAATCTCTTCTTCTTTAATTATTACAACATCGTCAATCTTATTTTGCAAAAAATATTTATTAATACTAATGATGGTTATTAATTTAAATCCAACCAGACATTCGATCTAGTCACCATTGTTCATTCATTCGTTGGTTCGTTCATTTTTTATGCCTTGTAAAATAATCAATGAAAAAAGGAGCTTTTGTAAAAGAATAAAAAATAAATGTTTAATAAATATTTTTTTAATTTGTTAATTACACACGTATATTAACTCACCAATTCTTATGATTGTAGCGTAAAAAAAAAAGGAGGTAAAACCCTTAATAGTGTTTTGGTGTTGTATTTTCTTTTCTTCAAGTGACGGTTTCGGTGGTTGCATAAACATTTTTTTTTTTTTATCTTTTTATCTTGTGAAATGTCCACAAATAAATGAGGATCGAAGTTAAAATTGGTCAATATGATGATGATCATGGTAGTATGGGAAGTTATTTTGGCAAATATTTTCGGTAGTTATTTATTGCAGGTAAAATCTGAGAGTATCATCAAAAAAGACGCCAAAGCCTGCAATTTGTTGCTGCTGATTTCATTAGGTTTATCTTTGGTATCTTTAATCATGTCATCAAAACTTATATTACCTGAACTAATTTTCGGAAAAAGGAGCACTAATATCATGATTTTCACCATAATAATCATCATTATTACCACTTTCATTGTCATCAGAATCAGAATCATTTTTGTCATCATTATCATTTTTCATCATCATAGGGATATTCTTTTTGATATAACCTCACCGACTTCCCCAAGTAAAATGGCTTGATGACTTAAAAACATTCATCCCAACCACAAAGAATTATTTTCCGGCCTTTTTCTTTTACTTGTTATTTGGTCAGACAATGGAGACAGTTAATGTTGCTATTTACCGCACATTTCTTTTATTTTTAAATTTGTAAAGGATTATTAATATTAAATTAAAATTGCACCACCCAAGTACTTATTATCTTTGAAGAAAGAAACAATAGCAATACTAATATTATGCAGAAATGAAACTTTTAAAGAACTAATTCTGAAAAAAAAGCCTAATGTCCTCCTGACAAAAATTTTTAGTGGTCGAGTCTCTACCTCCAAACATAAAATGAATAGTATTAAATTCGCCCAAGTATATATCTGACTTAATGGAGTTATTCTTTCATGCATATGAAAGTTCTCCTCTCGATACCTTTTTGTGAGAACACGTTGACATATAAAGTACATATAAAATATACATCTTATTTATGTAAGATTTCACATGAAAGTTTTTATTTAGCATGCAGTGTGTTTCAAAAAAAAGGCGCCAAAATGTAAATTTATTTTAAAAAATTTTCACGAGACAAAAAACGATTGGTATCTTGTTTGATATGTTTATTACATGGCGTTTGCAAAAGGATAATGATGCAAAGCACACATCATGCCATACGTTACAAAAACCTTCATTTCTGAAGAAAGAATTTGCATAATAGACTGGCCATCCAATAGTCCTGACTTTAATCCCATTGAAAATATGTGATATATCATAAAAAATAACGTTGAAAAAAGGATGCCAAGGAATGTTGACGAATTGAAGAAATTTATGGTCGAAGAATTTCTCAGGAAACGGTCAAAAATATTATTATTTCTATGAAACAGAAATGTGAGTTGGTTTTTAGAAAAAACAGTGATATAATTTCTTATTGTTTTTTTATTTATCCAACCAAATAACCTTCTATTAATAGAAAATGAATATATACAAGATATATTGAATAGTTTAACAGTCGACAAATCTATAAATTTATTTTTTTCATGTCTGTTAGACTTGAGATCTCATATAATAAACTATCAATCAGGTGACAATAAGTTCACGTGCAAATGAATCATCAGATCAATGACGAATTTATATTTTTTGGGTGAAAAAAAATACACGTGTAGTGTTTTTGAAGTGCGTTCTGCTTCGTATTGGTTAAATTGTTGAAGTCGAGGGGTTTTTAATCACCCACCCAATGCAAAGAGGAAAAATAGCAAGGAAACTATTTATTATGATTTTGTGTATACATTTTATATTTGGATTTTATTTCTTTCTCCAGCGATGTTGCAATTCGAAAAATACAATTTTTCATTTTATATTCTTTATATTAATAAAAAACTAACTTCCTATGAGATTAAAATCAAGATGTTTATAACGTTTAAAGTTGTTACAGTATATATATATATAAGCTTATGAATAATAATAAAAATTTTTTTTGAAAGATACTTTAAAAAAAGAAAAATTTTAACTAGGGTTAATTTGTGCATGCGTGGAAATTCACCTCCCAAAATTCATTATTATTATTATATATTATATATAAACGTTCTCACGTTCCACATAAGCAACCCGTTAAACCGACTCGTTAAAATAAACTTTTTTTTTAAAAAAATATATTTACCCCGTTAAAACAGTTTTTTTTATTTTTTAATCAATAGACCACCACCGAATTTTTTTTACCCATCACCAATAACCAATAGCCCGAATTTTATTTTAACCAATCAGATACTGATCTTTAGTTTTTGAAGTACCCGTTAATCCTAAGAAAAGTGGCTTTACAAACGCCTTCAGATTAACGGTTTTCATAAATCTAACTCAATCAGTATGAAACCTCAAATATCTTTCTCTCTTGCACCATCATTATCTGTATCTATATAGCATTTGTTCTGGTCATTGAAGGTGAAGCCCTTGAATATTTAGTATTTCTCTGTTCTCTGTTCTGGTAACTTAATTTATTGGTTTGATGTACGGCAAGGTAAAATTTACAATGATGTCTGGCACATATTGTAGACTTTGGAAGAGTATGTAACGGTAATCGTATAGGTGGTGATAAACCAAGCAAATACCACAATTGCGGTACCGATAATGGAGGCTAAATTGTTGACATTGGTACTTGGTTCGTGTGAAAATTCAAAGTGGCAATGGTGATACATGATTTTGGCTGTTTCCTCAACATATTAATGTAGCAGATTGCGATAACGATTTTAAATCGCAATATAAGCATATTCGGATGTATTTTTAAGCAAATAAAAAATATGTCAATGCATACACGCATAAATAAGCCCGATCGGGCAAAACTTTATTTATTATTATTTTTTTTAAAATGTATTAAGCCGGCTTAACAAATGAGGCCAAAATTTTGATTTTGCCATTTCTTAAAAATACTATCAATAATATAGTTAATAATAGCTTGGTAAAAATTAAAATTCACATTTTTTTTGAATAGAATTGTATATGAGACATTGCATAATTTGAAAAAAAAATTATGCGCATGATGCAATGCGCGTTGCTTTTTTTTTTCATGCGTATGTCACATCTCTATGTGTGACCTTGTTGATTTGCATTCTTTTATTGATAAAAAATATTTGATAATTATATACATTAAAAACGCAAGGAAATATAAAGTTATTTTTTGAATCTGATTGTTTGAAATTAATACTCGATTTACGTCTGCTGTTTTTTCATCAGAAAGAATTGTTTTTCTCAAGATAAGCTTATAAGCTTTTGTTTATATAAAAAATGATAGCAT